TCCCAGTTTGGAAGGAACCTCAAGAATCATCTGGTCCAACCTTTCTTGGCAAAAGCATGGTCTAGACAAGATGGCCCAGCACCCCATCCAGCCGAATCTTAGAAGTGTCCAGTGTTGGGGAATCCACCGCTTCCCTGGGGAGATCATTCCAATGGCTGATTATTCTCATTGTGAAAAAAATTTCTCTTGTGTTCAATCGGAATCTCCTCAGGAGTAACTTGCTCCCATTATCCCTTATCTTTTCCATGTGACTCCTTGTAAAAAGAGAGTCTCCATCTTCTTTGTAGCCACCCTTTAAGTACTGAATCATGGTGATGATGTCACCCCTAAGCCTTCTTTTCTCAAGGCTGAACAAACCCAGTGCTCTCAGCCTTTCCTCGTATGGCAGGCTTCCCAGTCCTTTGATCACCCTGGTGACCCTCCTCTGGACCCTCTCCAGCCTGTCCACATCTTTTTTTGTATAGTGGGTACCAAAACTGAACACAGTATTCCAGGTGTGGCCTGACAAGCGCTGAGTAGAGTGAGATAATGACTTCTTCATTTCTGCTGGTGATGCCCTTGTTGATGCAACCCAACATCCTGTTGGCTTGCTTTGCCACTGCAGCACACTGTTCACTCATACTGAGCTGGTTGTGCACCAGGACCCCAAGGTCCCTTTCTACAGAGCTGCTCCCCAGCCAGGTAGATCCCAGCCTGTGCTGCCCTCGTGGATTATATATTCCCAGGTGCAAGACCTTATATTTGTCTGTGTTGAACTTCATAAGGTTCTTGTTAGCCCACTCTTCCAGCTTATCCAGGTCTTCCTGCCGAGTGGCTTTCCCTTCCGAAGCGTCTACTTCCCCACTCAGTTTTGCATCATCTGCAAATTTCATCAGGGTGCACTTGATCCCATCATCCAGATCACTTAGAAAGATATTAAACAGTGTTGGGCCCAATATCGATCCCTGGGGGACCCCACTTGTGACAGGTTGCCAGTTCGAAAAAGAGCTATTTACCACCACCCTCTGGGTGAGGCCAGTTCCCCACCCACAGCATGGACCACTTGTCAGTTTTCAAGGAGGCGGCTCTGGGGAACCGTATTGAAAGCCTTCAAGAAATCCAGGTAGACGATGTCCACTGCTCGCCTCACATCAACTGAGCAGGTTACTTTGTCATAGAAGGTGATCAGGTTTGTCAAGCATGATTTGCCCTTGGTGAATCCATGCTGGCTTTTCCCAATTGTGTCCTTCATTTGACTTGTGATAGCCCCCAGGAGGATTTGTTCCATAACTTTCCCAGGGACTGAAGTAAGACTGATAGATCTATAATTTCCTGGATCCTTCTTTAAGCCCTTTTTGTAGATGGGGGTAACGTTAACCTTCTTCCAGTCTTCTGGGACATCCCCCAATCTCCAAAGAGGCTTCTCAAAGATTATGGAGAGCAGCCTTGCAATGACATCAGCCAGCTCTCTTAACACCTTCGGGTGGATATTGTCGGGACCCATCAATTTGCAGAGGTCAAGGTCCTGTAACAGTTCACATACCAACTCTTCCTTCACTGATGGCGGGTCCATGTTTGCATCAACCTGGATTTTTGTTCCCAAGTCCTGGGGCCCAACAGCACTGGTAAAGACAGAGGTGAAGGAAGTGTTGAGAACCTTTGCCTTATCAGTGTTGTGGTGACTAATTCACCTCTCCTGTTTAACAGTGGGCCAATATTATCCTTCTGCTTGTTGTTTACGTACCTAAAGAACCCTTTCTTATAGTTTTTGATGTCTCTGGCCAATTTCAATTCAAGCTGAGCTTTTGCTTTTCTAACTGCCTTTCTGCACGCCCTGGCAATGTCCTTGTTCAATCCTTTGTAAACAAGGGAATATTGAAAATTCTGTTGTTTCGTAGACTTAGATTTTGAGCAAATGTATTTTTCTTTGTCATAACGTGAATATATTTTTATGTGTTATTAGAAAGGATTGTTTGCATAATCTGTGTGAATATGTGCGTGCATTTCTGCATATATATAAGTATTATATGAAAAGTAGGATTTTATGATACTGTTGCAAGAAAAAAGTAGCTTATATTATTTAAAAAGCCATGGTATTTGGTTTCAGTCTCACCTACAGGGCCTCTGTAAATAGTACTTTCTTACTGTCTGAATGGATAAATTCACCTACTAACATATGGTCTCTCTCTTTTTACGCAGAGTGACCTTTGGTCATGCGGCATTACAGCCATAGAGATGGCAGAAGGAGCTCCCCGTAAGTGATACGTGTGCTTCTCCAGTGGGCTCATTAAGACTGAAACATATACTTGGGAGATGCTGGTTGTAATCTAAGCCTAGTTTTGAGGTTTCTGAAAGTATCCACATGTTATTTCTGTTCTCTTTGGTTTTGCCTGCCCTATAAATACAAAATCCCATAAATAGCAATGCTTTTGATAAAGATAGGATTGTGTTTAAGCACTACAGTGCAGACTGCAGTAATTAAATTTCTATAGCAGGAATATTTGGAAGCTAATCGAGCGTCAGACTTCCTTCCTATGGGTAGTATATTGTGTTTCGGAGTTGTGTCCCAATTTGTGTATGGCCTGGCCTGGGATGCTGAAACCTCAGCCGGGGAGAGGGGCAGAGGGGCCTCGAGAAAACCGACCTTAATGAAAAAAGCATCTGTAGCAATTGTTTCTGTGTCGTCTTTCTGTCGCTCTGGGTAATGCTAACATTGTTTTTCCTTTTGTTTCTACCCATTGGTGGGCGGTGTTGATTTTGGCAGTGACATGACTTAAACTGTAAATCCATCTTCAACACAAAGTATTGAACTTAATGGTCCCTACTTGACAATACTTATCTGTTGATATGGGTATTTTTGACAGAGAAACCTGGAAACCAAAAATGCACCACTTCTTATAGCTTATTTTCCCCTCATATAGTTATTCTTTCCGACTATCAAGGCAGACAGCAGATAGGTGAGAGGAGGACAGAAGGATTTAAAAAGAAAGGAAATTAGGCACAATATTGTGGCTTTTAATGGTAATTTTTATGAGAGTCCTGATTGAACTAGCAAATATGCTTACCCTCACCCCCAACTGGAGCTCTGTATTTAAAAAGTAACAGCCTAAGGTACCTAAGAGTGAGTTAATTAAATTTTTTTACTCATAAACAACCACCACCACCACACCGTAGCCCAGCTTGAAACCTCGGTCTTTGCAATAATCATGTTGAAATAAAGTATTGATATTTTCCTAGCTAAAAAAAGGTCATTTCATTATAGCTGCTGCCTGATTTTTTTTGGTTGTTGTTAACATAAAATTTATAAATCGAATCACAACGTTCTTGTTATGATTCATGTTTTAGGAGGTCTGATGGTTTGGGTTTTGGTTTTTGGGGGTTTTTTTCTTCCTAATTGCATGCTTGCCTGCATGCCCACGTGAGAGCTGCTCCCAGGACACCTCAGCCAGCACTGTGTTAACGACGTTTGAGCTACCACTTGATCTCCTTTTTGCCGTACCTTTTTGCTCAGTGCATTGGGTTGCCTGTATGGCTTTCAATTAAAAGCTCTGTCTGTGAGGTTTTTTGTAAGCTTGGTATTGGACAATAATATTTTTTCATTTCCAAACCGAAGCAGAGTTTGGATCCTTTTTGTGTAAAAGCACAAGAGGGGCATCTGAGAAGTGAGCGAAGATCCAATGTAAATGCTGAACAGCTCTTGCCTTGGTCTGTCCTCTGGCATGTGGGCTCTGCCTCCTCCTCCAGCGGCAGCTGAAGAGTCCATCCCTAAGCTTGGTGGTCAGATGGGATCCTCAGGCATCCAGGGGCTTCTCTGCCAAGGTTGTGGCCCCTTATTTCTGAATCCAGAATCCTCTTTACATCAGTCTGTTTCTCCTGGATTTCTGTTTCGTGGAAAATGTTACCTCTGCCTGCAGCGATCATTTAGGCTGAGACTGATGGTGCAAAGGTCAGGCATAGGAAGGTGGTTAAAAACAGGATTTGCTTCTAGTGACCTTTCTTGGGCAGCCTCTCTCCCTGCACCCTTGTTTCCCTGCTTTGGCTCTGCCGTGGTGCTTTGCTGTGGAACAGGAGGAAAGGCTGTCCAGCAGAGATCCCGGACTCCCACTAAGTGTCTGCTGAAACCAACAGGACTTTTGTCAGAAAAAGTCACGGGCTTGCATTTCAGTTCTGCAGGGAATCCTTTTTTTTTTTTTTTTTTTTTTTTGATACAGACCCTTCCATGCTTCAAAACTGTCAGGCCTTGGAGTAAAGAAAATCTCCAAGTCTGGAGAGTAAAAATGAGGCATCCTCCATAATGGGAGAGAAGGGCAGGTGGAGGGAAGTTTGTATGAAACAGTAACTGTGTCATTCTTTCCTTCTGCCATCATCATCTCCCAATATTTTATTGACCAGAATGTAAGGTAGATGATTTGGGGCTGGAGGAAGATCATGCACAGATGTTCCCATCATGGTTGATTCTGAAGGTTAATCCATGCCTCAATCTCTTTCTGTTTTGGGGGCTGCCCTTGGCACATTTTGCTGTGGAATTGTCGTTTCGGGCTAATTCCATTTAGCTGTGTTGCTGTGTGCATCAGCTGTGTGTGCGGTCAGGACGGTGGGAATGGTTGTGGAAGCTGAGGCCATTGTATTGACACAGAGCAACTAAGCCAACGTTTCTATGTTTCTGTTTGGTTTTGTTTTCTTTCCTTCAGCGCTTTGTGACATGCATCCCATGAGGGCACTCTTTCTGATACCCAGGAACCCTCCCCCACGGTTAAAATCCAAGAAATGGTACGTATTGGTTCTATCTTGTTTGTAACCCTTTTTGTAGCATGATGCTTTCTTGTATCTGATCACATGCTGTTTTGTTACTGCTTCCACAGAACTGTAAAGCAATTTAAGTTTGCAAAAATCACTCTGTTCTTATCTTTTGTGCTGCTGAATCAAAGCATGAAATAAAAAGCATGCCTTGTTTATTTAGTTCTGTTTGTCCCAGAGAAATTTTATCTTGAATTACCTGAAAATAAAAACCAAGCTTTTTTTTTCTTGACAGAGCAGCATCTGTATTAAGGTGACAAATGGATCCATATTTTAAAAAATAAGCTCCCGCAGCACTCTTAAAATGTAGTATGTTTTCTCAAATGTATCATAACACAGAAACAGAACAGTACTATAGTGTTCTAGTTGCTAAGTTGAAAGGAGCTATTAAAACTAATGAAGGCTTTCACTATAATTATTGTAAACGATTGGAATTGAGTGTGTGCTTCTTGCCAGCTGAGAAGAATCCATTAGTATTGGAGGATTTCCTCCCAGTTACTGGTTACAACTGGCACATGGGAAACAAAAATACTCCCTAGAAAGAGGTTTCATATAGATTGAATGTGATCACAGGATGCTGTGATCCTGTCAAAATAATGAAGTGATTTGACTGCCTATTCAATATCAACATAATGTAAACTTGGCTTGCTTGCTGGGCTTGGTCTTTGCCTGGATTGACTTATTTATGCATTTGTACTGTCAAGGCATCCCTCTCTCATACTTGCTTTCTGCATAAGTTAAAGGAATAGAGATGCATATACAGTATTTGCATAAGCCTTTCATGAACCTGTTTATTTAGAAGAATAACACTTAAGGTGTGAGGAATAAAAAACCCAGTGAAGTTACCTTGAATTCAGCCTCTTACATTACAGTAGGAAAGTGAAGCAATGGATGGAAACTGTTGTTGTTTTCACACTTAACCATGTGGTAGAGGTGTTTGCTGCCCAAGCATGGAAGCAGGTTGAGAGCACCTAGCAATCAAAAAGTGACTCTGGCCAAAGCCAGTGCTGCTGTGACTCAACTGTTTTGATGGTGTGCTCAGTGGCAGGTTATGAGAAAAATGCGGTTTTGAATATTTCCATTACTGGCATTTTGCAAGGTGGCTTATTTGGTGGCTTCTATCTGGAGAAGTCCTCTTTCAGGAGTTCAAATGAAGTGCAAATTTAGGAAGGTGATGCTCCAGCTTAGCTAACTTCCGTACCTTGTTGCTTCATGCGGTGTGCAGGAGGAGCTCAGTTCAGTTCATACCCTTAAATTGCATCAGTGAGAATCTGACCCCAAGTGCCTGTGTTGAACAGACAATACTATTTAACACCCACCTGTTGTTCTATGAGGATTTTTTTGTGTGTGTGGCTCTTCAGGTAAAAAATAAAATACTCTTAAATTCTCGCAGACCTATCTCAGTGAGCCCAGGTGCATACAAAAGCAGCGCAGTGCTGCTCGTGTCAGGGGAATGCTGGCCACAGTTCTTGTGGCTTTTGGTATGTGGTATGGCTGTTCTGAAGCAGACATGCCCTTAGATAGCATGGGCAGGTGGAGACACACCAGAGCTGCCCTGCCCGTGCTCCAAGCAAGCTGGATGCTACCCAGCTGTGGTCCAGAAGTAGCAGAGCTGGGTTTGCATGATTTGCCTTCGCTAATAGATCCTGCCTTTGAGGGCAATTATGCCTGTGAAAGAGAGCACATTACTGCGAGGCTGTGCCTAAGCACTGCAGGTATGTTGGTATGTGTCCATCCAGCCCTGTGTCCCTCCAGCCCAGTGCTCAGCTGGAGCCCACTCAGCTCTGTTTAGGAGGCACACTTGTAGACAGCACTTGTACCATCCTCTGGGACCTGATGCTCTTTGAGGAAAGGAATTAGACTTTGAGGAAGAACAGAAAAAATGTTTGAGCTGAGTTTTACCTGTGATCTTGTCTTGTTTTGGTTTTTTTCCCCTCTCTACTTTCTCAGGTCAAAAAAGTTTTTCAGCTTTATAGAAGGCTGTCTAGTGAAGAATTACATGCAGCGACCTTCTACGGAGCAACTCTTGAAACACCCCTTTATACGTGACCAACCAAATGAAAGGCAAGTCCGAATCCAGCTTAAGGACCATATAGACAGGACCAGGAAGAAGAGAGGAGAGAAAGGTATGCCACTTCTAAAAATCCACTACTGCAGCTTGTTAAAAATACGTATTTTTGTCCTGCTTTGCATTCTAAATCCCCATGCCTAGAACAGCTCTGAACAACCCAAGCCCTTGAAAGATTCTTTTTTAATTCATGTTGCAATTATCAGCAGGCTCTTAGGTTTTGTTTTGTCCTCTACAATGTCAAGTGTCTTATTTTCAGATAAATTTATTCCCTTCTGGGCCACTGCCTCTTTCATACAAGCATTAAACAGTATTTAGGTGGATATTGGCATATATGCCTTTACTTTTTTGGTCTGTGGTAGGTTCATTCCTGGAATGATGCCATAAATCAGGCTCACAGGAAATAACCCATCACAAGAGCTATGAAGTGAATATCTCAGGCAGCCTGTTCTCTTTATTCAGGTGGTGCCAAAGTTCTCCAGGTGTCTTGTCTTACGTGTAAAACCTGGTGGTGTTCAGGGAATTCACTGAAAGTCTGCTGCAGAGCACGGTGCTGCTTTACAAGTGTGGGAAGATGGGCTGGTATATGCAGAATGAGTTCTAGGGTCTGCGACAGATCTCCTCACTGAAGGGGATAGGAACTGGTTCACTAATGCACTACTGCAACTCCTCACTGTCCTAAAATGAAAGATAAGCGCTATCTAGGCTTTTGTTTCTTTTCCATTAGATGAGACGGAGTATGAATATAGTGGAAGTGAGGAAGAAGAGGAGGAAGTGCCTGAACAAGAAGGAGAGCCAAGGTAATAATTGCTTTTGGGAGGGCTCTGGGCAGTCCATGCCAAGTAAGTGTAAAGGTCTGTGACTATAAATCAGGGGCATGCTTAATTTCTGTCTCCTATTAAATGCATGCACAAGCCATACAAACCACCCAAAGGGTTTGAATACCTGTACTGTGACTGCTAAAGGTTTTAAAGCTCCCCCTCGTATGGCTTAGAGCCAGCAAGCTCTGGATGGAGGGAGATTTATGGCAAATATGATTGGTCAGGGGCTCCACAATGTCAGAGTTGGTCCTTATTTTGCTTGGCCTCATTTCACGCCTTCCACTGACAGCGTGTATTTGACATGCATCCAGCCTCTTTGCTCCGAAAGCAACAAGATTAAAATTTAACATCATGCTATATTTTATTAATGTTCCCCTTCTTTGGAAAAGGTATTTAATGGCCCATCAGGCTTTATTGTACGGGAGGCTTTAACTTCCTCTTGTTGCAGTTCCATTGTCAATGTGCCTGGAGAATCAACCCTCCGACGTGATTTCCTGAGGCTGCAGCAGGAAAACAAGGAACGATCCGAGGCCCTTCGGAGACAGCAGCTGCTGCAGGAGCAGCAGCTCCGTGAGCAGGAGGAGTACAAGAGGCAGCTGCTGGCAGAGAGGCAGAAGCGCATCGAGCAGCAGAAGGAGCAAAGGAGGCGGCTGGAAGAGGTAGAGACAGGAGGCTGGAGCTCAGGGGGCAAAAAAAGCCCCTCTTCCACTTGCCTTTCCCATTCCCACGCCCATTTAAAAAGAGTTCCCTGTAGCCCAGCACATCTCAGGAAAGAAACCAACATGTTCAAATCCACTGGCAAACATAGAGCAAAGCACTTAAGTCCATGTCTGGCTACTTGAATATGAGCCGTCTTCCAAAGCATTTGAATATCCAGCAGCTCCTATGGAGGCAACAGGAGCCAAAGCTGGGTTGTTTGAAGGTATTTGGGGGGAGGCTGTGTCTTGGTCTCTGTTCCAAAGAAGAGGCAACATGTCTAGACTTCAGGTAGCTGTAAAGAAGGGTAGACATTAATTATTCCTAGACGGATTTTTTTTTTTTTTAAAAGTAGGCAGTGCCTCAAGATTACTTTTTTGGGGGACATGACATGCTTCAAATTTCCCTTTAAAGCTTTCTCAAACATCTGTCTTTGGCATTCATTCGTGGTAGGTAGAAGCCTATTTTTTATTTATTACTCTCTCATGCATAGTAGCATGATGACTAAAAGCCACCTAGATTTATAAATATGATTTATAAATTAGTGTTAAAATTATAATTCTGAAAAAACCCACAAATATGCAAGTCATACTTTTGTGATATGGTAAGTATGCAATTTGCATACACTACCTGAAGATAAAAGAAAATTAATGTATACGTGCAATATTGTTCTGTCATACTTTTCACCGCCTAAGATCTCATGTGCGTTTATATACATGTAGATGGAATATGCAGTGTGAGCTTCAGAGATAGGAGGATTTCAAACCAGCGCTTCGGGCCAGAGCTGGGTATGACACAGAGCTGAAGTGAAACCAATCCTCTGCCTCCTCAAGAAGTGCAGGGTCAAATTCCAGTTGTCCTTAAATGACCTCTTGCTTGAGTCGCTGTTTCAACTGTTCACTTAGCAATGATGGAAAAACTACACCCAGTCTGGTTTTCCAAATCCTGGTAATGTTTAAGGAGGACGCTACCAGGACCAAATGTTGATTTGCATCCCGTGATGTGTTTACATAACACATAATACAAAATTCCAAATAGGTTTCCAGGTCACATTATGCTCCTTATCCCTCTTTTTCAATGTGCAAGTGAGTTTAGTGCTGCTGTAAGGAAGGATTGGTAGCAAAAACTCAGCCACACATGAAGCCAGGAGGAGGGACAAGGGGAAGGCATATAAACTCCATTTCTCTTCTGTTTTCTTCCCCACCCTTCTGAGATTGCCAAGATAAACATCATAGCTCTTCCAACTGTTTTTAGACTCTGGCTCTGTAGTGATTTTGTTGGGGGAGCAGATAATAAAAAGGGGCTAGGAAAATAGAGCATGGGACAATATGAAAATAAAATATTTTATTGATATTGTCAGAGGTGGGCAAAAGTTGAGATACTTAGTCTCTAAAATATTGCTTAGTATGGGAATTAGTTCTTTTAAATGCCTCTTTAATCTCCAAGGTTCTGCAGGCAGTACTTTTTTGGCAAGGAAGGGGATTAAGATTAAATTGTCTAGGTCATTTAACTTTAGTAATCAATGCAACCCTTAAAATCTGGAAATTCTTGTTAAAATAAAAGAGATGATGCTGCTAGTAAAGGAAACAAAGCAATGCACCTCTTTTCTGCACGGGGTAGAACTTTTTGGGGATGTTGCAGAAATAATAATTTAATAAGCAATTAAAAAGAAAAGGCAGTTACCTGAAAGTTATGTTTAATCAGTGCTGCTTTTTAAAATACAAAACAGAACTAACAACTTCAGCAACCACAAGCCGGCGTGTAATGTAGGTTGATGTATTACTGAATAAGGTTACACGGGAAACCATGTAAAGTTTTTAAGAGAAAAGCTTTTACCTTTTATTGAGTTTGTAACCTCAGCCTGGTTCCCTTAGAATCATAAATGTGAATGATGAGCTATAAAGGTTTCCTTTGCAGGTGGAGGGGTGGGCATGCTGTTCGTCAAGTGAATTAAAAAAAAAAAGGCCCACATTGAGTTTTCAAAAAACCCCTGCTTAGTTTGTTGGATCTTGTGTTGGAAAAATGTATGATCCCAAGTGATTTTTAACAAAACAACAGCCAAAACAAGCTTTTTAAGATGGGGGAAGGGTGGTAGACACACATTAAGATAAACATCAGTGTTGTGACACAATTGAAGGCCAAAATATTGAAATGTAGTCACTTTGTCCTTAAGCCACCCCCCTGTTTTGATGAACCCAGTAAACAATGATAAACTTGTTAATGTGAGTTAAGATTAGTGTCAGGCATTGAATCTCTGGGCTTCCATCAGTTTGCTGACATTTTTACCAAGCCTTGCTTTCTTGTAATGTTTCCTTGTGTGGAGTAAATGGGTTTACCTGTTTTAACATTCTTTGGGAAGAATTTTATGCATTAGATAATCTCCCTGGACAAGTTGCTTATTCTTCCCCCTCCCCCTTGTACCCCTCCACTTCCTAAATTAAAATTGAGGGCTTGTTCTTACAATGCTGGCACGGAGCCTAGACAGTTTTGACCGAGACTGTAACAGGAACAGTGTTAGGACATCTGCCAAAAACTAATTCTCAGCAGTATTAGAGAAAAAGATTACTTTTTAAAAGGTGTATAGGTGACTTCTGAACCTCATTGTTGCAGGAACCTTATAATTTGTGTATTACTTAGGAGGTGGAAGTGATACGTGGTCAAAGTGCAGAAAATTACCTGAAACATTTTGGGAAGGGGATTATTTGTCTGACCCCCCCCTTTAAAAATCATATAAAGACTAGTTACATAAATATCAGTTATATGACATATAAGTGTTTAGGTGGTTAGAACAAGAAATCTGAGCTGTTCGTGGCTGTTTTAACATGTGTCTGTGTTTCTGTTCAGCAACATGGAGACACCAGTGCTCAGTGTGACGGGTATCGAAAGGCATTTGAGTTTGTACTTTGCAAAACTGAGTCTGGTTTGGGAAATTAAGAATTAGCTGTGGTGGAATCCCATTCTGTGTGGACCTCCACACTTCAGGATAACTTCATTAAATGGTGTCTGTCCCTGATTATGAGAACCTAAGAGGGATGTTTTTGACGTGGTAGGTTGTAGCTCCATTGGCAAGTAGTACAGTCCAGTAGAAGCAGATTTGTGGAGCACAATAATTAAAGTGCTGTGGACCCAGAGACTTCACTCCACGTGTTTGAAGACAGGAGGAGTTCCTTTGGATTAGCTGAGGCCTAGACTGCATGCCTGCTTGTGGTTGGAGCGCATCTGCCCTTTTAATTTCATCCAAAAGGAGTGGTTGGCACTCCAAGACATCTTCAAAATATGAAACAAAACCTGGTAAGCGGAGATGATTGGATGATTCACTTCAAAAGAGCACTCCTGATCTGAACCAAGATGCTAATGTAGGTGTACCTGCAGGCGATTTTTACCAGGGCTTTGTTTCTTTTACAGAAGAGGAGATTATTCATATCTACTTAATTTGAATTTGCTCGCAGTTTGGATTGATACTGAGTAAGAAGTCCTACTTCTGGTTTGTCTCTAGTGTGGACAAAGCAAAAGTCTCAATCTTTCCAATCCTCTTCCTAAGCTGATACCAGGCTACCTAATTCTTTGTGAAAGAAATCATTAATATATGTATTTATCAACCTTCATCTAAGACAGACTAATAATATTTTATGAATATAAAATTAGAGGGTCTATATTTATCTTCAGCAATTCACTGTATGAATGAGGTCCTGAATTTGTTGGTATACGCCAACTGCATGTGTAGTTGCATTGCCCCCTCCTGGTAAATCACACTCTACTGCATGGTCTTCCAGTTTGGAGATGTCAGGTACCATTATGAGATCATCATTAAAGCATCCTAAAACTGGACACGGAGCCAGAGTATTTACACTGTATTTTCTGTATGTTTTCTTTGTTATTGGCATAGAAAATGCCAGTTTTGTGAAATGCAGAAATGTGAGGCTGTATGGGCTCTGTCAAAATAGTGTTTTGGCATCTCTGAAGTTTCTTTAAGGAGTTCCTGCCCTTACCTTCTGATTAACACTTAGCTCCTTGTAAATAAGCTTTTCATCTGACACGTACAAGAAAGTTGGTAATACCATATCCAACTAAAGAAGATCTGGATATGCACCCATAATTTCCGTGAATCCAGATCTATACGTGCTGTCTATTGGACAACAGTGTTTTACATCAGGCCTTTTTTGTAGTGCATGATAAGAAGTATAGTATCTAATAATCACACTTATTAAATTCAAAAGCCTAAGTTTTATAAACAGAACTGACATTGGTTTTAACTAATGATTTTCCCTGCCCCTCTCCCCTCCTTTGGGCCAGTTGAAGGAACACGTTGACCAGGGCTTTGGTGTATCCTCATGGAAGAGTTGCTAGAGGCAGTCAGGAAGACGACCGTGTGCCAACAGAAAGATGGTAGGAAGTCAACTAAAGGGCTGCTTCTGAAGCCAGCTTGGGTCAGCAACGGCTTGCCACCAGCCAGCTTTGCCATCTCTTTGGCAAGATGTAGGCTAGGACCCGAGAGATGCTTGTCACTGTAGGTTTCCTTTCCCTGGGCTTGTTAAAAGTAAATTCTCCTTTGTTAGCGGCCAGTAGTTCGATGCTGAGGTTTCAAAGGCCACGTGCAAAGGAAGTGAAATATTTCTCTTACACCTAGGACTAGGAATAAGTGGATGGTGCGGGCTGTTGGTGGGCACTCTGCGGTGCCGGGTGCCTCCCTTCCCACCTGCCTGGCGAGGGCCTGAGGCGGTGTCTGACTGGAAGGCGGAAGTGATGCCAAGAAACCCCATCTCTCTGTGTACTTTGGCGTGTAGACAGCAGCACATTTGTGCTTTGGAGATTTGACATAAACGCACACTGGTCACAGAGAATCCTTCTTTTTCTTTCGTTGGGTAATAAATATCTACTATTGGTGCTGAGTGAGCAAACTGGCTCAAGGTTTGCTTAAAAATCTTGTCTTTTAACAGGTGATTTTGTTTATTTCATGATGCCATCGGAAATCAGGTCTCAGTCAACTTGTAATTTATTTTTTCTCATATTAAGTTCAGTTATTTATAGTGATTGCTGAATTACTTCTCCATTGATTTAAGAAGTGATGAATTTGTTTCATCCAAAAGACCTAAGCTCTGCCCATCTTCCTTGTAGTGAGAACAATGCCATCCCAAGATCTGCAATACATTCACTTAATAATGTCAACACAATATCATTAGACAGACAGGCTTCATATGTTTAATAAGTGTTTGAGATGATACATATGCATATTAACCAGTCAGCAGTGTGCTGTCTCTTGCATCCTCAGGGCAACAGAATTATTGTACTTCACATCTTAGTTTTCTTACACAAAGAGCCTGTCAGACTTGATTAGCCAAGAGGCACCTGAATATATTGACTTAAATATAGAAATTGTTTGACACAGATGCGTATATTCAGAAATAAAAGTGCCTCCTTAATCCTTTTATAGTGCTTAAAAAATGAAGGAGGGGAAGCAGTGAAACCTATAAAATGCACCACGTGCCGTAGCTGCCTTGCAGCACTTTTGCTATTTTTATATCTACATTTATTGAAGAGAGCTTGCTTAAGCAAGAGAAAAAAGGCTGGTAATGCATTTAGTTAGGAGAGGAGATGCAAGAGCAAGGAAACTGTGTCTCTGAGAAGATACAGAAAATGTGGGGGAGAAAAGAACTTATGTCTTGTGGCACGGGAAGGTGGAAGAGATGATGATGCTATAGGCCAGGAAGGAAGGCGTTGTAGTTACAGAGTGGGTGTATTTGAACAGTGGTCTTCAAGAAAGTTGCATCTTTCCTAAAACTGCAGCTAGTTAAAATTGAAAAGCAGTCTGTTTTATTTAATACTACTAATTCTTAACCATCTTTTTTCCCCCCAATGTTTCTTCTCCACTGTCATGTCAGTGTCATGTATCAATTCCAGAAGATGGAAAAGGCTGTTGAGCTTTCAGTTGCTTCTTAGTCATGCAGGGTAATGTGCTGAGCAGAGAAAGCTCATCCCGTGAAGTAACACAGGGAGTGTACACTGGCCTTTGCTTGTTCAGTTGAGCACAACTATGAAAAGCAGACCAGTAACTGGATTTGTGAACCCAACTAAAAGCTTCATCTGAGTTCTCTTGCAAGGCTACTTGGAGTGCCTTAAGACTGGCAAATCTGTGACAGCTTTGTTTCAACAGAAATTGCTGATAGTATTAACCTTAACCTAAATGAGAAAAGGAATAACCAATGTAGGTTTTCATTTTGTTTTTGAGATTAAATTTGCGTCCGCTTTTTTTGGTTTTAAATTTCTTCTATAATTTTTTAGCATATTATAGAAATCTATAATGGAAGTAAATGTTATAGAGATATTCCCAGTTGATGGTTGAACAGGAGACAGCTGGGTCTTTTGACACTTAGGCAGTTGTGGGAGGCTGCCTGGGATTTTGAGGTAGGTGGAGTAACTGGATGCTTCTGTAGAAGTGCAGGAAGAGTTGGTCACGAATGTACAGGCATTTAAAATGTCTCTTCTGAAGTCATATGTGGTGCTCTATAGACATAAATGAGTCAGTTCATGCTTTCTAGAGCTGTTTTCCAGGTTCTTTTCAAACTTGAGCAGACATACCAGGACCCTTTTGTACTTGGGTCATGTGTGCAAGCTTATCTGTGTAAGTGTAAAAGCTTAGCTCAGCTGTTTTTCCTCTTTTACATATAGGTGCTTTTGATGTTCTGGGAGGGGCTGAGGTGCTGTTGGTCAGCCTTCCTTCTCTCTTAGGCAAAGTTTTGGGCAGTGCATTAAGTCAAGGTTGGTTGTTGTGCCAACACCACCAAAATCTTAGCAGACCATGAATTGTGTTACAAGAGAAGCTGCTTACCGAAAGCTCAGATAGTTGTCATTTGAGTTTTAGTTGATTCAGTGGGGCTGATAGTTCCCTTTTGGCAACATTTAGATAATATGTTGAAGTAAAAAAAATTGTCACTCTGATGAAGATTAGAATTCAATAGTTGTTCAAAGATTGAGATTTCAGTGTGAGCCTCTCTTGAAGAGCAGCAGTGGGCTTCCACACCTCGATTGTCAGGAATATGGTACGTGACTGTGCGTGTGTGCGTGAAGAAACCAGAGAGAGTAAGCGAGGCTGCTTTTAGGTATAGTTGTGTGCTGGGTATGAGTTAGTTTCCTGGTGGATCACTTGCATAAAATGTTTTGTCACTCAGTTGCAGAGCTTGCCAGTCCTGGTAAATCCCTCTCTTCACAGTAGAAAACAACTCCACCTCTTTCTTTGATAACAACAAAAGTAAAACTTTGTGGTTTCTTTTCCCTTTTTGTAGCAACAAAGAAGAGAACGGGAAGCTCGAAGGCAACAAGAGCGTGAGCAAAGGCGGAGAGAACAGGAAGAAAAGAGACGTCTGGAAGAAATGGAGAGGAGGCGTAAGGAAGAGGAAGAGAGAAGAAGAGCAGAGGAGGAAAAGAGGAGGGTAGAAAGGGAGCAGGTGAGTCCATGATACAGATATATGGACAATAGGTTTGTTTCTTCTAAATTCTCATTTATTTTTTTAAAAATTAGTAAGCTTAAAGCAGCTTAGAGGCAACCTAACGCTGACCCTTTCATCTTTGTTGTCTCTGACAGCAAACGTACTAACATAGATTGTAGGGCTTTATGGAAAATTCTGGCAGCCTCAATATTCCCTCAAAAAAAAGAAGTCTTGTTGAAGTACTCATTCTAAATTCAGCTCGTGCCCCTGGGCTTGACTAAAAACCATCAGAATTGGCAAAATCATCACTGGAGCTGAAAATTGTTTCTAGGCTTGTCTTGCTGGATCAGTGGTTCTTGCAGGACGTGCCCCTGTTCAGAAGGCCTCCCAGAGAAGGGCAGCCCTGTTGCGTGTCAGCTTCTGGCACCCAGAATTGGTCAGATGCTCATCATAAACTTTGAATATTCTGAATTCCAGATGGAACCTTTGAGCTGCAGAGGGGTTTTCTTCCTAAAACTTAAATATGCAATCTCTCTCTCTCTCACTCTGTCTGTTTAAAATCAGCTCTAATAATGTATCCCAGTTCAGGCAGCAAGTATATCTTTAGCTGTGTCAGGGTGCCCTTAATACATTGAAAGTACAGGTGAGAAACCTTTTAAACTGTCAACTTCAGCTGCTATATTTATGCATGAAATCTGCATGTTTTAAAATCCTTTAAAAACTTGAATCAGGGTGATAATCAGGGTCATAATTACTGTGCATGTACTGCAAAATACTGATCCCAAATAAAGGGCCAAAACTACTGTCCTAGAGGCTGATTGTAAATTTCCCATTAACTTCAGGAATGCTGGTTTTGGCCTGATATACCTTAATTTTTTCTTATGTAAATTCGCTGTATATGAGATCATTGATGATTGTGTTACTGGGGAATTTTATTGTGTTTATGTATATCTCAAAGATTTTTGAGTCAAAAGCAGAGAAGACTAACCAATGGGACTAAATATGTGGAAAATTTCTAATTACAGCACAGCAATTTGCTTTTGGGCAGACACCGGGTATTCCCCCAGCTGCTTTTTAAACTGTTGAAATGCTAATTACGCACAGTGCCAATAATGACAAACAGTTAATTGACATGCCCAAGCTGAGCCACTCGGAGATATTTTTTTTTTTTTTCAGAAGAAAAGACATGCCCCCTCTTAGAATTTTTGTTAACCCAAACTATGGCTCAGCCAATGTGCGTAACTACAGTATAGTGTATCTCATCAGTCTGTCACAAGACTTTCTATAGCTCCCATCACCGTATCACTGATCCATTAATTTCTTTATGCATACACTGTAAACGTGTGCGTGTGCTTGTATGTGTGCGCATGCACATATTACATACTTCCATTAATTGCATGATAGGATGTTACCAGCTTGGGTTTGGTGCTTCAGAGTGTTAAGGAGTTCTTAGGGGGTCAGGCGAAACAGCGGGTAAACCTCTCAGCCTGTTGAGGCTGCAGGTGAAGAGATGGCTAGATTGCAAGAGCAAACGAGTTTGGTCTAATATCTGTTTCCTGGTGGATGTTTGTTTGTGTCATAACCATCGCATAATTCAGCAAGGCTGGCAGCGTCTGCTCAGGAGAAGCTTCTGGTGAGGGCAGCAGGGGAGATGGCAGGGCAGGTCCCACCTGCACTTGGCAGAGCCCCTCTGGGGGAGCTTGCTCCAGCTCTGCCTACACTACGCCTGGCTCTAGCTGTTGCTAACAGTTCATCGCACCAGTGCAACAAACTAATGTTTAATACAACTTGCATGTGACTTTGTGTTGGCTGTGTTGAGTCGACTTGCTGTGTTTTAACTTTCCAAAACCTTCAAGTGCATTTTGCTGCTTCTTGAAACCACTTCCAAAACACATAAATGAGCTCTGGCCCGTGCCGGCAACATTTGCAGGAGTCCAAATTTCAGAACAAAAGGGCCCAAAATCCGATGCTCAGGAGTCAGGGCTTCCTAAATTGTTCTGCAGGCACTAATCCATCCTGAAGTGTGTTTCTCGTTAAAGCTGAACTGGGGAAGTAGCGTGTGGTGTTCCACCCAGGGGGTTCTGATGCATTCCTTTTGAATAAATTTATTGCTGGGTAATTTCTATGTGACAGGAGTATATCAGGCGACAGCTAGAAGAGGAGCAGCGGCACTTGGAAATTCTACAGCAGCAGCTGCTCCAGGAGCAGGCCATGTTACTGGTAAAGCACTGTATCTGTTTTGTTCAGTAGCTATAGGATCCATTTATCTGGCCAGTCCTAGGCTTCCCTCAGTCGGGCACAGCTGCACTGACAGTATGACAACAAAGGAGCTTGATTAAAAAGCCATTTATGCTGGCATCGTGGGCTGACAGGCACATATGAGAAGTGCTGTATGGTCACACTGCTTTCTGGGCAGTAAGAGGAGGCTTTATGTTAAAGTGGAACAGTTCTGGTGTGGTGGTCAAGTTTCTGAACAGACCTTGGCATTCAGTGAAGAACTAGAGTGCTTATGTTGCAGATCAAAAGCACACATGATATGTAAATCCACCCTGCGATACAATGGCCTAGTGTTGGTCTAAATCATTGTTTTATGAACTTTACACTGGATTTAGTGTAAATAACTCTTTTTTTTCTTTTCTTCCTTTAATAAAAATCAGTTTTGACATAACTCTCCAATCATGTCAAGCTTAGCAGTACACTCTCAACTTTCCCAACACGAGACACATGCCATATTGGTCTAACCTAGCTCTTGGCTATACTTTAACAATGAAATAAACAATCAAAATTTAAAAAAAACCAAACATTGAAAAGCAACAACAACCAGAAAGGTGCATTTTTAACGGGATGGATAGGGAGACATCCACCGTACAATCAATGTCATGTCTTGAATTGCTCACGCGTTCTCTCAAAGGAATACAGATGGCGAGAGATGGAGGAACACCGACAGGCGGAGCGACTCCAGCGCCAGTTGCAGCAGGAGCAAGCCTACCTCCTGTCACTGCAGCACGATCACAGGAGGCAGCAGCAGCAGCAACAGCAGCAGCAGCAGCAACAGCAGCAGCAGCAAGAAAGAAATAAACAAAGCTATCATACCCCTGAGCCAAAACCCCACTATGAACCTGCTGAAAGAGCGCGTGAGGTAAGTCCTGCTTCTGGGCAGGATTTTGCTATCTGCTCCTCTGCCCCTGCCTGGTGGCATCATGGTGACTGTGGTTCTGCTGTAGTACAGTCAGAGGCCAAAGCGTTGCTCATAATGGGCAGGATATTCTAAAATGTTGGCTCCTGGTTTCCAAACCTGAGGGGTACTTCCAGGTACTTCTGTTGCAATCATTGGGGTTCAAAGTTTTGAGATATAAAGGGTGGAAAGAAATTCTGGAAGGCTGCAGACTGAGGGGACCTGGTTTTGGAAGCAACATGTCAGGAAGTTAATCTCATCTGTGCTTCATCAGACATGCTTTCACAGGAAGCACTGGTGCAGTTGGCGATCCGTGTCTCTGGCAAGTACTGGCGATTGGAAATTGGGAGGCAATTGGAAAGCATGAACCTGTGAGGGATACTTGCACACAGCACCTGTTTACACATTGATGCCTTAGCTCATGCTCTTGGAAATTTCTTTCTCATGAACACAAACCTGAATTCATTAGTTTCATTTTTGAAGTGTAAAGTATTCTCTCCTGAGATCACGTCCAACTCTCAGAAACTCTGTGGTGCTGCCTTCTTGGACTTTGGGCACTAACAAGTTGATCTGAAATCATCAGAGTGCTGTTTGTTTCGGTGAGTGGTCCCCTGTCTTCACTGGTCCACGAGTAACATTGCTAAGCAAGTAATTGCCTCTTTGATTCATCCTTGGCTGTCTTTCAGCGGTCTTATTCTTATGTTTCCCTTGAGCACCATACTGCCCACAAACCACTAGACTGGGCAACACTGGTCAAAGCTCTTAATAGCATTCATCACCAGCATGTGGGAACTAGGTAAATACATTTTGGAAGAAGAACAAAAAAAATCCTTGAGGCTATTGAACATGATAAAATAGCTTTCAGTCCATCTTTGTCCAGTAGTGCTTCATTGCCTTTGAAGTATTGCTGTTTGGGCTTGGTGAGCACAAACTCATGTTCTTGTAAATGCTGTTCTCCAAGTTCTTCATAAACCATGTTTGTGCTATATCTCATCCATTCCTGTTGGTGGTTGAAGTATCTGGTATGTCTCTCTCTTGGAAGAAGTTCAGACTTGTCCGGTATGTGGTAGTGCAGGCATGGAACCGGCCCTCCTGTCCTTGCTCCTGGCCTGCCTCGGTGAAAGCACAGTGCCAGACCAGTGCTCCTGTCCAATATGAAGGCTAGCTTTGGAGGGATGCAGAACCATCTCTGTTCCTTGTCTCCCATTTTCCTTTCAGAGTTGAAAAGGAGAGAAATTCCTGAAGTTTCAAAGTGTTACATCCTTTAACAGAACCACTGACAGCTATTTTTTGATCATGGTCTTTTTCTTTTGTAATTGCTCTAGCTAGAAGGAATAAAGTGAAGGCACAGAAAAATTGTGTTAGTAGTCAGATCTTCCCAGAGATTGCTCTGTACGTGTGGTAGAAGTATAGCCATGATATCTCGGTGCCTGGCAGTGGGAGCAACACCAGTTAATCTTAAAAGAAGGCATTAGCTCTAATGTCATTCTGGACATTGGAGTTGGAGCAAGTATTCTGTGCCTCATACTTCCAGGTATACTGCTCTCCAGAGAAAGTCTCCAGCTACGGAGATGCTGACCATCAGGATGACAAGTGAAAGTGGGCTAACTTTCCTGTTCTGGCAAAGTCTAATGGGGATTAAGGTGTTTTGGG